CATCACTATAACCACCACCACCAACACTATAACCACCATCATCATCATCATCATCACTATAACCACCACCATCATCATCACTATAACCACCACCACCACCACCATCATCATCACTATAACCACCACCACCATCATCATCACTATAACCACCACCACAATCACTATAACCACCACCACTATCATAACTATAACCACCACCACCATCACTATAACCACCACCACCATCACTATAACCACCACCACCATCATCACTATAACCACCACCACCATCACTATAACCACCACCATCATCATAACTATAACCACCACCAGCATAATCACTATAACCACCACCATCATCATCACTATAACCACCACCATCATCATGATCACTATAACCACCACCACCATCATCATTATCACTATAACCACCACCACCATCATCACTATAACCACCATCATCATCACAATAACCACCACCATCATCACTATAACCACCACCATCATCACTATAACCACCACCATTACCACCACCACCACCACCATCATCACTATAACCACCACCATCACCACTATAACCACCACCATCATCACTATAACCACCACCATCATCACTATAACCACCATCATCACCACTATAACCACCACCATCACCACTATAACCACCACCATTACCACTATAACCACCACCACCACCACCATCACCACTATAACTACCACCATCACCACTATAACTACCACCATCACCACTATAACCACCACCACCATCACTATAACCACCACCATCACCACTATAACCACCACCATCAACACCACTATAACCACCACCATCATCACTATAACCACCACCATCATCACTATAACCACCATCATCACCACTATAACCACCACCAACACCACTATATCTAACACCATCACCACTATAACCACCACCATCACCACTATAACCACCACCATCACCACTATAACCACCACCATCAACACCACTATAACCACCACCATCAACACCACTATAACCACCACCATTAACACCACTATAACACCACCATCATCACAATAAGCACCACCATCATCACTATAACCACCACCAACACAACTATAACCACCATCATCACTACTATAACCACCACCATCATCACTATAACCACCACCAACACCACCATAACCACCACCATCACCACTATAACCACCACATTCATCACTATAACCACCACCAACACCACCATAACCACCACCATCACCACTATAACCACCACCATTATCACTATAACCACCACCATCACCACTATAACCACCACCATCATGACTATAACCACCATCACCACTATAACCACCACTATCACCACTATAACCACCACCATCACCACTATAACCACCACCATCATCACTATAGCCACCACCATCACCACTATAACCACCACCATCACCACTATAACCACCACCATCACCACTATAACCACCACCACCATCACTATAACCACCACCATCACCACTATAACCACCACCATCAACACCACTATAACCACCACCATCATCATTATAACCACCACCATGACCACTATAACCACCATCATCACCACTACAACCACCACCAACACCACTATATCCAACACCACCATCACCACTATAACCACCACCATGACCACTATGACCACCACCATCATCATCATCACTATAACCACCATCAACACCACTAAAACCACCACCACCACCACCATCACCACTATAACCACCACCATCGTCACCACTATAACCACTACCATCATCACTTTAACCACCACCATCATCACCACTATTACCACCACCATCATTGCTATAACCACCACCATCACCACTATAACCACTACCATCACCACCACGACAACCACCACCATCACCACTATAACCACTACCATCACCACCACGACAACCATCATCACCACTATAACCACCACCACCATCACCACTATAACCACCATCATCACCACTATAACCACCACCATCACCACTATAACCACCACCATCAACACCACTATAACCACCACCATCACCACTATAACCACCACCATCAACACCACTATAACCACCACCATCAACACCACTATAACCACCACCATCAACCACCACCACCATATCCACCACCATCAACACGACCATCACCACCACTATCAACACCACCATCACTATAACCACCACCATCATCACAATAACCACCACCACCACCATATCCACCACCATCAACACGACCATCGCCACCGTTACCACCACCATCACTATAAGCACCACCATGAACACCAGAACCACCACCATCACCACTAGAACCACCAGCACCACTTTGATCACCAATATCGTCACCAAAGGCAAAGATCCCTCGTATAGACATAACAGACTTTTGGGGCAAGTGCTGTTAGCGAGCACCTATGAAGGCACACGGGGGTGGGTGCCAGCGTCACGTCCGGCCGCCTTTGTCTCCCCAGTGGCGATGTTTACACACCGCACCAGGTACTCATTTGAGGCTGAGTCGACTTAGGGGAGGCCCAGGACCGGTTCAGGTAATAGTCACTGGGTGTTGGTGGCCGTGAGCGGGAATCGAACTCGGGTCTGGGGGTCCGTAGCTCAGCGCGCTAACCGCTGCACCGCCACTCCCACACAGTTACCACCACCAACAGCAGCCAACAACAACAACAACCAAACACAACCACCCCGCCACACGGTGAGCCCGTATCATCCAGGCGAGAGCGCGCGGCTTCTGTGCGCGTGCGTGCGTGCATCCGCGCGCGCGTGCACGTGCGCGACTCCCGCTCCTCCGATCGGTGAAACTCCGGGCCGCGTTTCGCTCTCAGCTGCCACTGCCGCCGCCGCTGCTGCCCCATTTAAATGCAAATGAGGCGATAAGCATTCCTCTGGGCTGCTCGGCGCGGGGAGGTTGGAGGATGAGGAGGAGCCCAAAGCCGTGCGCTGGGGCTCCTCGAGAGGGCTCTGCACTTCACATCACGCGACGCCGCCTCCTCCTCCGCCTTCTTTGTTGGCCTCGGGATTTCACCCCCGGGGATTCTGCGGTGCTGCCGTAGTAGCTCAGGACATGGCCATGGTGAACCTACTACGACTGTACTACTACTACAGAGAGAGACGCACACACACACAGGGTGGTAACATTGACGGCTTAGCGGCCCCGACACGGCCACTGTGAACCTACTGAACTCAAACGCAGGATCCGACATGGCCAGTGTGAGCTTACTACTACTACTACTGCACAGAGAGAGACACAAACACAGGGTCTTAACATTGCCGGCTTAATGTCTCGGACACGGCCGTTGTGTACCCCGTAAACGACATGGAACATTTGTTATTTTTTGTTTCATGTAAGTATTAGGACAGATTCTCCACTACACTGGGGGTGTGCGACAACAGCTGCAATGCTGTTCGTGCTGGTTTACACTTCTCCGTGTAAACGTAAATTCACATTTTATTGTGGAATCTGGCGAGGCTTGATGTTTCGTCACCTCTTCCTCCTGCTCCACTTCCTCCTCCTCCTCCTCCTGCTCCACCTCCTGCTGATCCATCTTCTCCATCTCCTCCACCTGCTCCACATCCTCCTCCTCCTGCAATACCCGCTCCATCTACTCCACCTGCTCCTCCCGATCCTCCTCCACCTGGCGATGTATCTCAGTGGGTTCGCAGTGGCCGTGTCAGAGACACTGAGCCAGCACAGCTGAGCAGCTGAGTTAGAGTCCCGGGTTCTCAAGTCTCACGAGTTTCAGGGTTTCGCACGGTCACCAATGACTGCACAAAAACGTTAAACCCTGCTCAGGCTAAGTGTGTCTCTTAGTTTGGATAAATTGGAGCATATTGGAAGGATTTAAATAGAAATGTTATTCAGTTTAATGCCTTTTAGGCCCAATGGGTATATAAAGGTCCGTCTCTAACTTTTTTTAAAATTTAACTCATTTAATATTTAGCAGGCAAGGTCCGCTGTGCTTTACAGCTCTTTTTCAGTAGCGACGTTGCCAAAAATGATAGCTCCACGAAGTGGCTTACCACCATCATCACGTGGAATGTACAGCAGTACCCAAACACTCCAAACGCGTGATGTTGATTCTAAACGAGGAGGGTTCGGAAAAAAAATCCACGCTCCCACGGGGAGAAATCTTCAAATAAACAGGTGTCAGGGTCGGGATCGAACACACGACCTCCTGTTTAACACGTAGGCTTTCACGACCAATATCATCCATACTATAGTTTTTTTAAAATAATAACATAATCTCCTGCATACCAGGCGAGGGAGATAACATCTCGCCACCGTGGCACCCCACCTCCTCTGGACCCCCCTCTCTATGTGCTGTGAAGAAGGGTCATTGCCCGAAACGTCTTTTATTACATACTTTTTGTATGTTGAAGACCACGTCGCGTACCGAGGTACTGTAGCTGTTGAGCATTATACTCTTTAGTTCTTTCGGTAAAGTCACGATCGCAACACAAGCGACCGTCTTCACCTGAAGACGGTCGCTTGTGTTGCGATCGAAACGTCGTGATCTATTATTATTTTTTCCACCTACGTTGAGCATGGTTGGTGATTCCTGTGCACCAGATGGCAGGGATCTACTTTCCAACGGCGAAGGAATGAATCACGCAGTTGTGGGCTAGTAGGAGCCGTGGCGTGTGTCATTGCAGGCCCATTCCATGGCACAAGACGGTGCACTGCTCGCTTGCCAAAATCAATTGGCCACGTGCTCCACTGGTGGCTGCATGGGTAACATGAACGAATGGCATTCTACAAACACAAAGATCCCCTGCATAGCCTTAACAGACTCCTGGGGCAAGTGCTGTTAGCGAGCACCTATGAAGGCCGGCACGGCACACGAGGCGGTGGGAGGCCAACACCACGCCCGGCCGCCTTTGTCTTCCCAGTGGCGATGTTTACACACCGTACCAGGTACTCATTTGAGGCTGAGTCGACCCAGGGGAGGCCCAGGACCGGTTCAGATAATCGTCACTGGTGTTGGTGGCCGTGAGCGGGAATCGAAGTCGGGTCGTGCAGCGCGCTACACCACCGCGACCCCTGATGTCATACCACACAAGACAAACAAGGCAAAAATCCCCCATATAGTCTTAACAGACTGTTGGGGCAAGTCCTGTTAGCGAGCAGCACCTATGAAAGCCGGCACGGCACACAAGGGGGTGAGTGGCCAGCACCACGCCCGGCCGCCTTTGTCTCTCTAGTGACTATGTTTTTACACACCGCACAAGGAATTAATTTGAGGCTGAGTCGACCTAGGAGAGGCCCAGTTCAGAGACACGCGCGTGATGCACCTAGAGTCAATCGGCTGCATCGCTGGGGGGTGGTTATTTTGGCCATACTTCACCACTATGGCCAGAATCGATGTGGTGTCGATGTCTCCTGCCACTGATGTCAGCCGTGCCGGGGGGGGGGGGGGGGAAACGGATTTAATAGCAACACGTGGCTACTCCCGGTGAACGCCGCACGACGCGTATGTATCTCCAACTGCTGGATGAGTGAGTGAGGGTTCCCTCCAACGCCGTGCGGGGTTGCTTTGGCCATACTTCGTCACGGTGGGCAACGCGGGTTTGGGTGTAAGCCCAGAGGCGGGAGCATAGGCGAACAGTACAACGATTGGCATTTCGCTGCGTTGGCCACCACATACGTAGCACGCTGGAGGAATCAGATGAGTTATACAACGCACGGATAGGAGAGCAAAGTATAGGAAAGTTAAACAAATCATTAACAAAAATATATGCAAATAGAACGAACCTATATACTTGTGTATCTTCCCAGGTGAAGTCCGCTACTGGCCTTTAATTCACTGTATGAGCACCGTGCCTCGCGCGGTGGGTTGGCCCAGCGCTGTCCAAGCTGAGGCCTACAGAGCTGCCCACATGGGACGCGGCCACTTGGGCCATGGGCGACGACACGGAGCGCACGGACGGACGGGAGGATGGCGCCTCGTTGTCATCATCGCCGCACTTCGTCATCGACACCGCACCTCGTTGTCATCATCGTCGCACCTCGTCATGATCGCCACACCTCGTCATCGACACCGCACCTCGTCGTCATCACCGCCGCACCTCGTCATCGTTGAGCTATCATTTGTGATGGCCAGGCCGCTTCTGAAAAAAAAAGGCCCATATAGCTCAGTGGGGCGTTACCTGGTAAACTATAACAAAGTTACATTTGAGTAACCAACTTGCAAGTCCAGCATGGTCCAAACACAACACCAGCGTCAATGTAACACGCAGCAGGCTTTCGCGAGCAGCAATATGAATCATAATAAAGGTTTTAAAAAAAAATTGGGAGGGGGGGGGGGTTTAGATCGCGTAAATATCACTGTGTCGTTAATCCACCACCGCCAACACCACCCGACAGCAAATCGGTGTGTACGTTCTCACGGTGGTAATGGGATTATAAGTAACGCGTTACATGCGTCAGCGGGGGCAGCGGCAGCTGGCTTGTGGGGTCTCGCGTTGCCCGCCAGACACGACGAGCAGGGCAGAGGGGAACGCAACGACGACGACGAAGCGCACGGGGCACGTGGCGGTGCGGTGGCCCAGGGCAAGCGCTCGCGCGCGGGCCCCACTGATCCGGACGCAGTCAGCCAGCACGGGACGGTTCAGCGTCACCCGTTCATCAGCAGCAGCAGCAGCAGCAGCTCGCCCCTCCTCCTCCTTCTTCTGCTCCACCTCTCTCACCTCCTTCATCTCCTTCACGTCCTCCTGCTCCACCTCTTCCACCTGCTCCTCCTCCTGCTCCACCTCCTCCACCTCCTCTTCCTGCTCCACCACGTGCTCCACTTCCTCCTCCAGCTCCACCACCTCCTGCTCCACCTCCTTCATCTCCTCCACCTCCTCCACCTCTCCCACGTGCTCCATCTCCTCCACCTCCTCCTCCTCTTGCTCCACCTCCTCCTGCTCCACCTCCTCCACCTCCTGCTCCACCACCTCCTCCTGCTCCTCCACATGCTCCACCTCCTCCAGCTCCACCTCCTCCTGCTCCACCTCCTGCTCCACCTCCTCCATCTCCTCCACCTTCTGCTCCTCCACATGCTCCACCTCCTCGTCCTGCTCCACCTGGTCCACCTCCTCCCCCTGCTCCACCTCCACCTCCACCTCCTGCTCCTGATGCTCGTGCAGTAGGGTGCAGTGGAGTGATTCTGTAGACTCCACAGTGGAGTGAATATATATAGTAGAGTGACTCCCCAGTGGCGATGTTTACACTCCGTCCTAGGTACTCATTTGATGCTGAGTCGACCTAGGGTAGGCCCAGGACCCATTCAGAGAATCGTCACTGGCGTTGGCCGTGAGCGCGAATCGAACTCGTTTTCGCTGGGTTGGTAGCACAGCGTGCTAACCATTGCACTACCGCTCCCCACACACACACACACTGGGACACGCGCGTGCAACAAAGACAAAGATCCCCTGTGTAGCCTTAACAGAATGTTGGTGCAAGTGCTGTTAGCGAGCACCTACGAAGGCCGGAACGGTACACGAGGAGGTGGGTGGCCAACACCACGCTCATCCGAATATTATCTCCCTAGTGGCGTGTGCACGCACACAAACACACACACACTTTAACACACACACACACTTTAACACACACGCACACTCACTCTCACACACTCCCTCCCAGCCTGAGGCTGTGACTCATCGCATCTCGCGGAGGATCGCTCCGTTGAATAAACTAGTTCCGCCGTTCCTTTCGCAAGTTCGACTTCACGTTCGCAAGTCTACGTGGAAAGGATACAACACCCCACTGGAAGCTGGTTAGTAAGTACGGGTGTTCGCAAGTCGGGTGTTTGTAAGTGCGGGTGTTCGCAAGTCGGGTGTTCGCAAGTCGGGTGTTTGTAAGTCGGGTGTTTGCAAGTCGATGACCGCGTGCAATCGATAATATCGCGTAATTCCGTAACTTGATTCGTTACGCACGTCTTTGACATGAGCAGTGATTTTTGATTTAATGCTTTCGTGACTGCAGGGATTCATATTCTTGGCTCTTTCGTTAAAGTCACCACGTAGAAGGGAAACAATAAAAAATATAAAACAATTATTTTATTGTTTCCCTTCTACGTGAATTTACCGAAAGAACCAAGAATATGAGTAGTGATGTTACTCAGGGAATCGATCGCGACTTGTCTCAAGTTAAGAAACCAGCACCACTATCATCATCATCATCCTCCGGCCTGCCGACATCCGTGCCGGCACACACGTGCCCCGACCCATCACAACCTCCTCCGATTCCTGATTTTACCCATGGCCCTTTCCTGCCACCTTCTATTAGTCTGCGCTGGGAATAATAATAATAATCTGCTACAGCTCATCGGATTCTTCCAGTCTAAATAAAGATTCTCATTCCGATTCCGATATTCATTCCCCAATCTGCGAGTTGCTCAGGGGCAGTCCATAAATGACGTCACACACCTAGGGGGGGGGGGGGTCAGACATTTGTGACGATGTGTGACGAGGGAAGGGGGGGGAGTGAGAAATGTGACGTCACATAAAAATGCGCAACTTTAAATAAATATAGACAACACGTTCTACTTCATTAATTAGACTTTTTAATACATGTTTTTTTCTCCTACAACATCAGAGTGCAGCGCCACATTAAATACGCACTACAATGACAATAGTTTAAACCGATTTGAAGCGTGTTTTATTTTTTTGGGGGGGGGGGCGGCAGAGCTCTGTGACGTCATATTTGAGGGGGGGGGGGGGCTGACTTTTTGTGACGTCGTCCGACGAGGGGGAGAGGTGGGTCAAAAATCGTCCAAAATCGCGTGACGTCATTTAATGACGGACCCTCAGCCCCATATCTCTTCCTCCTCGTCCTCGATCCTTAACACGCGCGCACACCCCACCCATCACGGTCCCAGACGGCCAGCCCGTAACACAAATGGTATATCTGCACGGAGCGGTGTGCTTAATTATAACATTAACTGTAAAATGCTTCATTAAACTTTATCAGCCATGTGGGACTTTTAATTTGACAGGGTGTAACAGCGGCAGGCCTAACAAGGTATTTATAAAGCACTAATTATGAGCGCTGCTGATAGACGCACTTGGGAAGCGCAAAAACTTGAGTCGATATGTATCGCAAAATCGAATCGATTTACAAAACTGCATATAAACAATGGTAATCATTGTCACTCCACTGCTGGATGGAGGGTCTCCCTCTCTCTCTCTCGCCCTACGCCGGCTCGGATCGATGAGTCTTTTGAAGCATACTTCACCGCGCGGGTCAATGCGAGCAAAGGAAGCCAGTACCCAGCACCAGTTCAGACGTCACTCGCCGTGGTCGGGAATCGAACTTAGGATGAGGCCAACAACAAAGACAAAGACCCCCCCCCGTATAGAATTAACAGACTGTAGGGGCAGGTGCTGTTAGCTAGCGCCTATAAAGGCCGGAACGGTACACGAGGGGGTGGGTGGCCAGTATCAGGCCCGACCGCCTTTGTCTCCCGTGTGGCGATGTTTACACATTGCACCAGCTACTCATATGAGGCTGAGTCTACCTAGGGGAGACCCGGAACCGGTTCAGATAATCGTCACTGGTGTTGGCCGTGAGCGGGTAACGAACTCGTGTCGCCGGGTTTGTAGCGCTGCGCGCTAACTGCTACACCACCGCTCCCCACTGAGGCTAACCACGCACACACACACACACACGTGTACACGCGTGTGTACACGTGTGTGTGTGTGCGTGTTGTCCATCCACTGCTGGGTGAGGGTATCATTACGTTGGGGGGGGGGGGGGGTATTTGACCACATTTCATCACGCTGGTCAGTAGAGGGGCTGATAAAGACGAACACAGGGATGACGCACTTTCAGCGAAAGACGGATGTTCTCAGTGCACAGTCTAACCATGACTCAGCAGAATCACATGGAACCCTTTACCAAAGCCACGTGACAGCCTTTACCAGGACCACGTGACAGCCTTTACCAGAGCCGCGTGACAAACTTTACCAGGGCCACGTGACAGCCTTTACCAGGACCACGTGACAGCCTTTACCAGAGCCGCGTGACAAACTTTACCAGGGCCACGTGACAGCCTCTACCAGGGCCACGTGACAGTCTTTACCAGGGCCACATGACAGCCTTTACCAGGGCCACGTGACAGCCTTTACCAGACCCACGTGACATCCTTTACCAAGGCCACATGACAGCCTTTACAAGGACCACGTGACAGTCTTTACCAGAGCCGCGTGACAAACTTTACCAGGGCCACGTGACAGCCTTTACCAGGACCACGTGACAGCCTTTACCAGGGCCACGTGACAAACTTTACCAGGGCCACGTGACAGCCTTTACCAGGGCCACGTGACATCCTTTACCAAGGCCACGTGACAGCCTTTACTAGGGCCACGTGACAGCCTTTACCAGGGCCACGTGACAAACTTTACCAGGGCCACGTGGCATCTCTTGCCAGAGCCACGCCGCAGCCTTCACCAACCCGGCCCGCACGGCGGTCGCCTAGCCCAGGTACTCGTCCAGGCCCAACTCCTCCGTCGGACTTCGGGTTTGAGGAATTCGGGCGAGTCCAGGTAGATCCCTCGTGCTGCCACCGCCCCCCCCCCCGCCCCCCCGGTGTCACGCAGTGGTCACGTCGGGTGGCCAATGCTTTCTCTGGGGCTGCTGACTCTAAAAACGGGCAGCACCCCCCGAGATACGAACGTCCGACTTACGAACATCCGCACTCGCTCACGAACCGCCATTACGCGTTATTACTTGTTCTGCAACCATTCGACTTGCGAACGTTCAGTCGCGTTTACGAAACCGGGCTCCGTGGAACTCTTTTGTTCGGTGGAACCTTAACACATTTTTATTACGCTGACCGTAAGCTCAATTAAATATCGAGTTCCGAGATACGAACAAATGGACTTACGAACGGGCCTCAGGAACATAACCCGTTCGTAAGTCGAGTAATGTTACTGCTGCTGCTACTGCCGCATCTGCTGATCACCGTCAACACCGTTTAAAAAGTGAGCAAAAATGAAGAAATGTCTAACTTAGTTTCGATGGCCGCAGATTTCTAGAATGTTTGTTATCTATGCAGCGTGGGTGGAAGGGATGTGTGTGTGGGGGGGGGTGTAAATGTTGAAGATGCGGTGGTGTCGTTTATGATTTATGAGCGCAATATCCATCGTGTGGTCAGGCCCATACATTTGCCGGTAAATCTTGAAGGAAGGGAGATTGTCTTTTTCCTTTTTTTGTTGCATGCGGGGGTATTTTGCATCGGGAGTGAAAATTTGAAATTTAAATACATCCTGGCTCACTTAATGCACTGGACTGAACAGCTATCCTATTTCAGCCGCCTCATTAATTATATTCATTGTTTCATCTCTCGTCTCGCACACAATCTCTTGCACCCCCCCCACCACCACCACCACCCCGTCGCCACTCCGCGAACGTTAATTCGTCAGCGCTAATCCATTAACACGTGGCACGGGTAGGAGAGAGTGGGCTGGAGTTCATTCACTCATTCCGCCCATTCATGCAGCGGGCGCCTTACTTCCAGTGAATGACGCTGGGGACTGGAACTGAAGTTCTTGACAGCAGGAGAGCGGCGGCGTTTCTGTAAACACTCTCACGCACTGTGGGTACTGACGCCGCTACTGCTGCTATTACTGCTGCTACTGCTGCTATTACTACTGCTACTGCTGCTATTACTACTGCTGCTATTACTGCTGCTACTGCTGCTATTACTACTGCTGCTACTGCTGCTACTGCTGCTACTGCTGCTATTACTGCTGCTACTGCTGCTATTACTGCTGCTACTGCTGCTATTACTGCTGCTACTGCTGCTATTACTGCTGCTGCTATTACTGCTGCTACTGCTGCTACTGCTGCTACTGCTGCTATTACTGCTGCTACTGCTGCTATTACTGCTGCTATTATTGCTGATACTGATTCTACTGCTGCTGCTATTACTGCTGCTACTATTGTTACTACGACTGCTGCTACTGCTGCTATTACTGCTGCTATTATTGCTGCTACTGCTGCTATTACTGCTATTACTGCTGCTACTGCTGCTATTACTACTGCTACTGCTGCTATTACTACTGCTGCTATTACTGCTGCTACTGCTGCTATTACTACTGCTGCTATTACTGCTGCTACTGCTGCTACTGCTGCTATTACTGCTGCTACTGCTGCTATTACTGCTGCTGCTATTACTGCTGCTACTGCTGCTACTGCTGCTATTACTGCTGCTACTGCTGCTATTACTGCTGCTATTATTGCTGATACTGATTCTACTGCTGCTGCTATTACTGCTGCTACTATTGTTACTACGACTGCTGCTACTGCTGCTATTACTGCTGCTATTATTGCTGCTACTGCTGCTATTACTGCTATTACTGCTGCTACTGCTGCTATTACTGCTGCTATTATTGCTGCTACTGATTCTACTGCTGCTGCTATTACTGCTGTTACTACTGTTACTACTACTGCTGCTACTGCTGCTATTACTGCTACTACTGCTACTGCTGCTATTACTGCTGCTGCTATTACTGCTGCTATTATTGCTGCTACTGATTCTACTGCTGCTGCTATTACTGCTGTTACTACTGTTACTACTACTGCTGCTACTGCTGCTATTATTGCTGCTATTATTGCTGTTACTGCTGCTACTGCTGCTATTACTGCTATTACTGCTGCTACTGCTGCTATTACTGCTGCTACTGATTCTACTGCTGCTGCTATTACTGCTGCTACTACTGTTACTACTACTGCTACTACTGCTGCTGCTATTACTGCTGCTACTACTGTTGCTACTACTGCTGCTATTACTGCTGCTATTATTGCTGCTACTGATTCTACTGCTGCTGCTATTACTGCTGTTACTACTGTTACTACTACTGCTACTACTACTGCTGCTGCTATTACTGCTGCTACTACTGTTACTACTACTGCTGCTACTGCTGCTATTACTGCTGCTATTATTGCTGCTATTACTGCTATTACTGCTGCTACTGCTGCTATTACTGCTATTACTACTGCTGCTACTGCTATTGCTGCTGCTATTATTGCTGCTACTGATTTTACTGCTGCTATTACTGCTGCTACTACTGTTACTACTACTGCTGCTACTGCTGCTATTACTGCTGCTATTATTGCTGCTATTACTGCTGTTACTGCTGCTACTGCTGCTATTACTGCTGCTACTGCTGCTATTACTGCTGCTATTATTGCTGCTACTGATTCTACTGCTGCTGCTATTATTGCTGCTACTACTGTTACTACTACTACTGCTGCTACTGCTGCTATTACTGCTGCTATTATTGCTGCTATTACTGCTGTTACTGCTGCTACTGCTGCTATTACTGCTGCTACTGCTGCTATTACTGCTGCTATTATTGCTGCTACTGATTCTACTGCTGCTGCTATTACTGCTGCTACTACTGTTACTACTACTACTGCTGCTATTACTGCTGCTATTATTGCTGCTATTACTGACATTACTGCTGCTACTGCTGCTATTACTGACATTACTGCTACTACTGCCGCTATTACTGCTGCTCTTATTGCTGCTACTGATTCTACTGCTGCTGATATTACTGCTGCTACTACTGTTGCTACTACTGCTGCTACTACTGCTGCTATTACTGCTGCTATTACTGTTACTACTACTGCTATTACTGCTGCTATTACTGCTGCTGCTGTTATTGCTGCTACTGTTTCTACTGCTGCCGCTATTACTGCTACTACTCTTACTACTACTGCTACTACTGCTGCTGCTATTACTGCAGCTACTACTGCTACTACTTCTGCTATTACTGCTGCTGCTATTACTGCTGCTATTATTGCTGCTACTGATTCTACTGCTGCTGCTATTACTGCTGCTACTACTGTTACTACTGCTACTACTGCTGCTGCTATTACTGCTGCTACTGAGGCTACTGCTACTATTGCTGCTGCTATTATTGCTGCTACTGCCGCTACTGCTGTTGCTACAGCCGCTGCTACTCTGAATTTAAAACTCGTTTCTTTAGAATTGCTTTTTGTGTTTTGTTTGTTGTCCTTCCCCCTCTCCTCCGATTAGCACGGTTGGCTACGTACGGTCCGAAATAAGGTCAACATACATATTGCTGCTACTGCTTCTACTACTGCTACGACTACGGCTGCTATTGCTGCTTCTGATGATGCTGATGATGCTACTACTGCTGCTGCTGCTACTGATGATCATCGTCACTGCTGCGATCATCTTCATAATCGCGTGCACTATTTCTCACGCGCGTGCATTTCGCGAATCGGACACAACTTTTCCATCGATAAATCGAACAGGGGAAAGTCCGAACAGATGAGGGCCTGGACAGATGAGGGCCTGGACAGGTGAGGGGATGGACAGGTGAGGGGATGGACAGGTGAGGGAATGAACAGGTGAGGGGATGGACAGGTGAGGGGATGGACAGGTGAGGGAATGAACAGATGGGATGGACAGGTGAGGGGATGGACAGGTGAGGGAATGAACAGATGAGGGAATGAACAGGTGAGGGGATGGACAGGTGAGGGAATGAACAGGTGAGGGAATGAACAGGTGAGGACCTGGACAGGTGAGGGCCTGGACAGGTGAGGGGATAGACAGGTGAGGGGATGGACCGGTGAGGGGATGAACAGGTGAGGGGATGGACAGGTGAGGGAATGGATAGGTGAGGGGATGGACAGGTGAGGGGATTGACAGGTGAGGGAATGAACAGGTGAGGACCTGGACAGGTGAGGACCTGGACAGGTGAGGGGATGGACAGGTGAGGGAATGAATAGGTGAGGACCTGGACAGGTGAGGGCCTGGACAGGTGAGGGGATGTACAGGTGAGGGGATGGACCGGTGAGGGGATGAACAGGTGAGGGGATGGACAGGTGAGGGAATGGATAGGTGAGGGGATGGACAGGTGAGGGGATGGACAGGTGAGGGAATGAACAGGTGAGGACCTCGACAGGTGAGGACCTGGACAGGTGAGGGGATGGACAGGTGAGGGGATGGACAGGTGAGGACCTGGACAGGTGAGGGGATGGACAGGTGAGGGAATGAACAGGTGAGGACCTGGACAGGTGAGGGCCTGGACAGGTGAGGGAATGAACAGGTGAGGACCTGGACAGGTGAGGGGATGGACAGGTGAGGACCTGGACAGGTGAGGACATGGACAGGTGAGGGGATGGACAGGTGAGGACCTGGACAGGTGAGGATCTGGATAGGTGAGGGCCCTTGAGCTGCTCCTTGAATGTGGATGCTGCTGCTGGCGGTGCAGCTTCAGAGAAGCGCTGCTCAGCCAGGGGGCGGTGCTGGTTCTGGGGTCAGTGAGCGAATTGTTGGACGTGCCCGGCAGGTTCGGATGTGGCGGATAGATCACTCTGGTCACTCAACGGGGGGGGGGGGGGGGGGCTCTGAGTGGGTGTGCGAACCCCCACTACCAATCTGCCTGCTCAATGAGAACGAGGCGTGTTGTTGACAAAGTCGACCTCTCAACAACGTGATCAGCGAACTGTATCCATCGCGTGTCATGCCAAATGCATTTTGGAAGGGGTGCACCCCCAATGGCAGCTGTCCCTGTGCGGCACGAGGTGACTCAGCACCTGGCCGGTAATCGGGTGACAGTATTCAGCCAGTTAGGTGGGGGCGATGACTACTTCCCTCTGCAATCCCCAAAGACACAAAAGATCTCCCTGTATAGCCGAAAACAGACTGTTGGGGCAAGTGCTGTAAGCGAGCACCTATGAATGCCGGCACAGCGCATGAAGGGGTGGGTGGCCAGAACCCTCGCACGACCGCCTTTGTCTCCCGAGTGCCAATGTTCACACATTGCACCAGGTACTCGTTTGAGGCCGAGTCGAACTAGGGTAGGCCCAGAACCGGTTCAAATAATCCTCACTGCTGTTGGCAGTGAGCGGGAATCGAACTCGGGTCGCAGGGGCACTGATCGTTGTACTATGGCTCCCCCAACCCATCTACCATCTAGATCAGTGTGGTGGAGCCAGGCAGTGCAATCACCATCGCCCACTGCAACTGCAGCAACAATGACCGAAGTTACTCAAGAAAGTGACGCACTTGCAAAATTACCCTGCGCAAGCAAGCAGAGATCGTTAAACTATTTTTTTTAATTTACCAGGCAAGGCCCACTGAGCTATGTAGCCATTGTATAGACTACACGATGACGTACACTGTCTAGAGTCTAGACTACATGATGTAGTACACTGTCTAGAGTCTAGACTACACAATGTAGTACACTGTCTAGAGTCTAGACTACATGATGACGTATACTGTCTAGAGTCTAGATTACACGATGTAGTACACTGTCTAGAGTCTAGACTACACAATGTAGTACACTGACTAGAGTCTAGACTACACGATGTAGTACACTGACTAGAGTCTAGACTACATGATGTAGTACACTGACTAGAGTCTAGACTACATGATGTAGTATACTGTCTAGAGTCTAGACTACATGATGTAGTATACTGTCTAGAGTCTAGACTACACGATGTAGTACACTGACTAGAGTCTAGACTACACGATGTAGTACACTGTCTAGAGTCTAGACTGCATGATGTAGTACACTGACTAGAGTCTAGACTACACGATGTAGTATACTGTCTAGAGTCTAGACTACACGATGTAGTACACTGACTAGAGTCTAGACTACACGATGTAGTACACTGTCTAGAGTCTAGACTGCATGATGTAGTACACTGACTAGAGTCTAGACTACACGATGTAGTACACTGTCTAGAGTCTAGACTACACGATGTAGTACACTGTCTAGAGTCTAGACTACATGATGTAGTACACTGTCTAGAGTCTAGACTACATGATGTAGTACACTGTCTAGAGTCTAGACTACACGATGTAGTACACTGTCTAGAGTCTAGACTACATGATGTAGTACACTGTCTAGAGTCTAGACTACACGATGTAGTACACTGTCTAGAGTCTAGACTACACGATGTAGTATACTGTCTAGAGTCTAGACTACATGATGTAGTACACTGTCTAGAGTCTAGACTACACGATGTATTACACTGTCTAGAGTCTAGACTACACGATGTAGTACACTGACTAGAGTCTAGACTACACGATGTATTACACTGTCTAGAGTCTAGACTACACGATGTAGTACACTGACTAGAGTCTAGACTACACGATGTAGTACACTGTCTAGAGTCTAGACTACACGATGTAGTACACTGTCTAGAGTCTAGACTACATGATGTAGTACACTGACTAGAGTCTAGACTACACGATGTAGTATACTGACTAGTGTCTAGACTACACGATGTATTACACTGTCTAGAGTCTAGACTACACGATGTATTACACTGTCTAGTGTCTAGACTACACGATGTAGTACACTGTCTAGAGTCTAGACTACACGATGTATTACACTGTCTAGAGTCTAGACTACACGATGTAGTACACTGACTAGTGTCTAGACTACACAATGTAGTACACTGCCTAGTGTCTAGACTACACAATGTAGTACACTGTCTAGTGTCTAGACTACACAATGTAGTACACTGCCTAGTGTCTAGACTACACAATGTAGTACACTGCCTAGTGTCTAGACTACACAATGTAGTACACTGTCTAGTGTCTAGACTACACGATGTAGTACACTGTCTAGAGCCTAGACTACACGATGTAGTACACTGTCTAGAGTCTAGACTACACGATGTAGTACACTGTCTAGTGTCTAGACTACACGATGTAGTACACTGACTAGTGTCTAGACTACATGATGTAGTATACTGTCTAGAGTCTAGACTACACGATGTAGTACACTGTCTAGTGTCTAGACTACATGA